AAAAAAAAAAAAGAAGATATTTCAGGCCATAAATTGTTAACAGGCTATTCTGCATGAGTGGACTTCAACATTGTCACACACAGAACCCTCCTGAATGGACACATCAGTTGTGTTGTGTTTGGGGACCACCTCACTGGATCCCCTGTGTTCTTTAAGCCCAGTGTGTCTAAATAGTGTCCAGGCATTGCCTGTGGCTGAGGTCCCTAGGCACACTCCTGGGCAGATCTTCTGTCTGGCAGCCTTTTCAGAGAGTTGGGACACTGCAGTCCAATTGCCTCGTCCCTCAGACTAATGCTAACCTCTCAGAGTTCTCCTTAGCTTAAATACACCCTATCCCAGAACTCCACCTATGGGGGCACTCGGGGTCTAACTGTCCAGTGGCACACAAGTGAAAGCCAACAGAGAGACACTCTGCACCCGACTGTAAACACACATACTCTTTATTTAACATGAGGGGTACACAGATCTAGACAAAAATCATAAACATCCCAATACACATTTCCCTGCCTCAGTTTCCTCAGCACCCTGGAGAGTTCTTTGGATTTGGGCAGAGTCCTCTTAGGTGCCCAAGATCCTTTCCCTACAGAATCATGGCTCTGCTCTCCCTTTCCAGGTCAGCTAGTTTTCAAGGACCGTGGTTGGTCCCACAATTAGACAGAAACCCCTCGCTCCTGCCCAAAGCTTCCTGATGTCTTGCTCTGTGAGTCCCTCAAGTTTATATGTGCCATGGGGCACAGGTGCCAACTTTTGTTGGCGCCGGTGGGTGCTCATGCCCCCTGACCCCGCCCTGACTCCGTCCCCTCTCTGCCCCATTGGATCCCTCGCCAAATCCCTGCCCTGGCCCCGCCTCTTCCCCAAGCGCGCTGCGTTCCTCCTTCCCGCCCCCGTCCCTCCCAGACTGTTTCGTGGCACAAGCGCTGGGAGGGAGGGGGGAGAAGCAGGACGCGGCGTCCTGCTCAGGGGAGGAGGCGGAGGTGGAGGTGAGCTGGGGTGGGGGAGCGGGGTGGGGAGCTGCCGGTGTGTGCTCCGCACTCACCATATTTTCCCTGTGGGTGCTCCGGGGCTGGAGCAAGACACAAGAAGTCATTCTTCCGCTCTACTCTGCTCTGGTTAGGCCTCAGCTGGAGTATTGTGTCCAGTTCTGGGCACCGCATTTCAAGAAAGATGTGGAGAAATTGGAAAGGGTCCAGAGAAGAGCAACAAGAATGATTAAAGGTCTTGAGAACATGACCTATGAAGGAAGGCTGAAAGCATTGGGTTTGTTTAGTTTGGAAAAGAGAAGACTGAGAGGGGACATGATAGCAGTTTTCAGGTATCTAAAAGGGTGTCATAAGGAGGAGGGAGAAAACTTGTTCACCTTAGCCTCTAAGGATAGAACAAGAAGCAATGGGCTTAAACTGCAGCAAGGGAGGTCTAGGTTGGACATTAGGAAAAAGTTTCTAACTGTCAGGGTGGTTAAACACTGGAATAAATTGCCTAGGGAGGTTGTGGAATCTCCATCTCTGGAGATATTTAAGAGTAGGTTAGATAAATGTCTATCAGGGATGGTCTAGACAGTATTTGGTCCTGCCATGCGGGCAGGGGACTGGACTCGATGACCTCTCGAGGTCCCTTCCAGTCCTAGAATCTATGAATCTATAAGAGTTAATTTCTCTAGAATGCTACTGTTTTTATCCCTATAAAACTCTTCTTCTTTATGGGTTGGTTACTGGAGGCAGTCACTGGACAAAACAGATGTTTCATTAAAGAGGCCTATAGATAATGAAATAATAAGCAGATATGGGACTTCTGAGAATTAGCAAACAGAGATATATTGACCAAAACCTTATTCAATATTTACATCAGGTAAATTCTAAATAATTTTTGGTACAGCACCATCAACTTGGAACTTTAGTTTAACTCACCTGCCATACTAGAGATATTAATTAGCCTTCCTTTGGATTTCCGAAGTAACGGTAAGAACATTTTGGTCACCTCTACATGCCCAAAGAAATTCACATCCATACACTGCTTGTAAACACTCATGGGCAGCAGCTCACCATCTGCAGGAAACCCCATGATTCCAGCGTTGTTGACAACACCCCATAACCCTGAGGAAGAGAAGGAAATGTACACTGCTGTTACAGAGTCCCTGCTGCCAAAGAAGATTAAGTAAATATAATTTCCCTAACAAAGAGAAAGCACGACTGTTAAAATGCCAGCTTCTAGTCTGAATGGCCAAAAACAAAGTTAGGATGCTGTGTAATTGTAGGTACATGCAGGGGTGAAAGTAAGATTGAAAACTTACCCAGTATGGGGGCCGACTTTCCCCCGAAGGGGCGGGGCCTCAGGCAGAAGGGGTGGGGCTGGGGGTCAGCATCTCCTAGCCAGCCCTTCCAGACTGCCTGGCCCGCACCACCCAGGGCTCCAGCGGCGATTTAAAGGGCCCGGGGCTCTGGCCACTGCTGCCGCTACCGCATCAGCGGCTGGAGCCCCTGGCCCTTTTAAATCGGCAGCCCTGGGGCAGCTGCTCCTTTTCTCCCTCCGCCCCTGTTGGCAGCCGTGGGGGGCAAAAGGGGCAGCGACGATAAAGCGCTGCTGCGGCAGTGCTTTAAGCAGGGTCCTTTGCTGCAGCAGCGCTTTAACGTCGCTGCCCCTTTTGTGCTCCCCCGTCGGCGGCCCTGCCACTAAGGACCCGGCAGGACTGCCGTCGGGGGGCGCAAAAGCGGCAGCAACATTAAAGCACTGCCGCGGCAGCACTTTAAAGTAAGGTGGTAGGGGCCAGTACCGGCAGCGACTTTTTACCGGTACCAGCGGCCACTTTTTACCGGTACACCGTACCGGCCTGTACCACCTTACTTTCACCCCTGGGTACATGTACCCACATTGCGCCTTTCCTCCTCTCGGCCCACTTGCTTCTTGTAGGTGGCACACTAGTGTCATTTGATAAGGATCCTGTTTTTGGAGTGCTCCATAAAGGAAAAGTCTCATCATTATAACAATATAAATATCCTTACTGGTACAGAGGTGGGGTGGGAAATGCAGAACACGCGCGCGCACACACATCAGGACACATTTTCAAACAGTGATGCAATGGAAGCCCCTTGCAAGAGGTATAGGCACACCACCCCATAAAATGTCACAGAAACGATACCTGTATTTTGCACCATCTCTGAAATTTTAAGATAGGCTTCCTTAATTTGTGCAGAACTGGTTATATCCAGTTGCAGGACACAAAGTCTCTGGGAACAGCTTCTTTTTAATTCTTCAGCCCCAGCTCCTTTTTCATTTAAGACACCAGCAAATACAACAAATCCTAAATTATCAAGGTACTTCGTCAATGCATGTCCAATCCCAGAATCACTTCCTGAAAGCACCAAAATCAGAAAGACACCTTAGGCAAAATAAAATACAAAAACTTCTTCCTAAACAGAGCTGTAAGAATGTTTGCTGCTGCTGTTAGTTTTTTTGGTTCACTGACGGTTTAGGAAAAATAATTGTTTTGAGTTGGTCTGAAATGATTTTTTTTTTTTTTTAATTTTCATTGAACTGAAACATTAAAAAACATTTGTTTGGGTCAAATGAAACATTTTGTTCGACCCTAAAAGAAACATTTGGTTTTGTTTGAGGTGCTGTTTTTAATCTTTCAAAATAAAATTAAGATAAAATGAAGCAAATTTCAAAGTGAAACATTTCATATTGGGTTTTTAATTATTATTGTTTGGTTTT